TTTTTTGAAATAACATGCCGAGAATGGATGTGCAGGCCCATAAGAATGGCAGTACCGCAACAAGCTTCTCCAAAACAACTGAATTTAAAAAGTTTTGCACTCAACGCCTCAAGATACATTTCTACTATTTTCCCGTACTTAGCAGGTGCGACCTAGGATCCTTCTGTGTATACAGTGTGGAGATGGGGTGCCGATCATTAGTCTGCCATCCAACTTGATCTTTTCTTATTATTTTTTTGATTTTATACACAAAAATGTATTTTTATTTTTGATAATATTTAGTTAATATTAACAAAGTTAAATTATGAAATATACTAAATGACTTTTGTCATAAAAAAATTAAATAAAGAGCTTAATTTTTGAATATATATCTGTTTTTCTTTGGGGGGAAAGTGACATGAGCCCTTCTCTTACGTATGCTAATGTTCATGACAATATTTTCTTCACAGTCTCGCCATTCTTAACAAAACACCATATGCGACGTTTTAGATGAAATAAATTGCGGTCACTTTTGTGACTTAGATTTATTAAGAGCTTCATAAATCTAAGTTGACAATGCTGATTTCATGATTTCATCCTTGATATGTCACAATTCTTCAAAAACATCGCGGCCGCAATCCTGGCAAGATTTGTGAGCTTTGGCAACTTTTTATGATGATGCCGAAGTCTGAGCCATGTTTGTTTTTTCCTTTTTTCAAAGATGTCCTAGCTGCCTCTTCTTTGTATTAATTTCGCTAGGCCTTGTGTTCTTTCCAATTCGTCAGCTTCTTTTACGTTCTTTTTCTTTAGACCCATTCCGTGTATTTCTTTTGAGCTTGCCCTTTATATACTTTATCATTTTTCTTTTCTTCAATTTATAAACGCAATGCAAGACTGTTTCTTTCCTTAATAATTCCTTTATCTCTCATCATGCTTTCCTAATACTCATTTTTCTTTATTTTTTGTTCCCCATTCCATGACGATTTATTCTTTCTAGCCCTCTGCGTTCCCTCAACATCACGTCTAGGCCTATTCAATAGTTTCCATTTAAAATTTTTCTTCCTTTTCGTTCAATACTTTCTCCGCTTACTACATACTTACGCTAGTGATAAGGGAAGGTATTGTATGCTGCAGCAAAAAGTGGGCGACGTTTCAGCAAGCGGAAAACTTGCATTGGAAGGTCTCCATTTCCCGATAAAAGACCGAACAGTATCCATTGTCACGAAAAAAAAATATCAGTTAGGGAGAACCAAAACGTATTAGCGTTATAAATCTCGATATCGATTTTCTGCAACGTTTGGCATAACTTCTTAAACCGCTCGGTATACACGCTGTATAGGGATAAAGTAGAAGCATGTTTTCTGTTTTCACAAATGTGGAAACACTGTCGTGCCATATCCTTGATTACATGAAGGAGATTGTTGACCTACACTGGTCACAATGCATTCAACAAGACATTGAAGTCTGTGCAGATGGAACGTCACCGGCGTTTTTTCAAACCCTGTGAATGAGCCAGTGCCTCACTAAATGCGTTCTCTGGAAGAATCCTTCCGGCACAAACAGAGCATTCGTGAGGGCGCTCCGCCGCTGTGAGTGCCAACGAGTGCCGAAGAACGTGAACTCAAGGGCGGTTCACTCAATGTTAAAGAGGCGGGGGCACTAAGTTTGTTTCGCAGAGAGGTATATATGTTGTTTCTCAGTCCGGACCCTGGTGCAGATAATCGCAAGCTGTTGCCGTTTGGCAGCGCGTTTTCAAAAGTAATGTTGTGCGAACTTACTTGTGGGCGCGTGTACGACGATTATTCAATGAGTATTGATCTGCTTTCTTATGATTCCAAGGATTACTGATTTAAATAATATTTTTAAATATTGTATTAGAATGTGTTTACTTAAAAACCAAAATTGTAAAGTGCATTTATTTATGCCTTAATTACTTTAAAACCAGAAACAAGTGAAACAACATGAAGTTTTTAAATTGATCATTTCCTTAATGTTCGTTTTAGTTATTTTTTCAGCATAGATACTAATACATTTGAGAGGTCTGAGTGATACCGCCCTAACCGCACAAATCTTTAAAAGTGAGGTACTTATAGTTTTATCCACTTCTCATGTGTTCATAGTAATTTAAATAAGCTTGTAGGCAACACGCTGTTAGCAATGGTGCAGGAAAAAGGCAATTCTTTTGTCCCAAAAAATGTTACCCATCTTTTCTGGTAATATTAACCTGAATCAAAAACCTCTACTGTAAAAAGCCAACTTATTTCATAAAAAAAACTTACAACAATATTAGACCAGTTTTTCTGAAATTTTAATTCTTTTAATAGTTGTCCTGTTCCTTCCACTTAAATGGTATTTTATCAAATATACCACAAGGGAAAAGTTGAATATTAAATTAAAATTAGTAAAGATCAATACCGTTTTTTTATTAGTTTTAACGAAAATATTAATTTTTTCTATAAGTATCAAAATACAATTCATTTTTATTTAATGGCTCCATCTTCTCTAAGAATGTTAATACTTTATGTGGCATTAATGCCAAACATTTTAGCTTCGCAAATCTAGAATTTAAAATATGCTTGGAAGATTTTAACACATTTTTCCTGAAATAGCTCGGTGGTGAGTATTGTTCTACATTTGGCATTATCTACAGACACATGAAATGCTGGATCAACAACTATTAATATCATCCAAGTCCATCAGTAAATAAACTGCTACAGAATTGTTTATTGTTCATGTTCATAAGCTGCTCATTTAATGTATACTACATTGTATTTTTTTTTCTCGAAATCTTCAATATGTGAAAAAGTTTAAAAGAAATATGATATTCGTTGTAGTAAACTGTGTAATTGATTTGAGTCCTTAATCTCTATAACTTAATATTTATTATTTGTAATATTTGAAAAATACACTTAAATCATGATTTTTATAAAGATTATCATTTGATATAAATCATGATTGAATCATACCAAGACTTAATTTTTGGTGACATTTTAATAGGCCAAAAATAGAAATTGTAATTTGATAGCAATATCAATCATTGGTACTGTGACTATTTTGGGTAAGACTTTGAAAACCAAGGAAAAATGAAACATAATTTAATAAATTATACTAGTTTTAATGTTTGCCAAGTTGATTAGTCTTGTAGTTAAGTATAACATAACATACCAGTAAAATATGCCTTAGTGTTCTGGGATTAAAGAGGGAATATTGCTGTTTACAAAAAAAAAAAAATATTTTATGAATGAAAATTTGTGGGGAAGATATACACCAATTTTAATATCTGGCCCAGTTTCTCTCACCTAGTTTTAGGCAATCTTAACTTAAACATAAACAATTGGCACAGGAATTTCTTCTGTTTAGGCTGCAGTACTGTTACTGGCAACATCATGACAATATTCGCACAAACGTCCACACACAAAACTAATCCTACATTGAAACCTACACATGGGCAGAACAATACTGAATTTTGACTGGTAATATGTAAAAAAATTGGATTAGATTTTTACTATATTATCAATATATTATAACATAGATTTATTGTTCAGATGTTTCATTTACCTCAATTCAAATTTGGCACATTTAACTAAAATCATCTATAAATATATTCACCTTTTTTAAGCAGCTCGAAGTACTGTGAAATATCCAAAAAAAGTTACCTATCTTGATATTTTTAAAATAAGACGTTAGATATTTAGAGTAATATTATTTATTACACACAGTTCTTTATAACACATCGAAAACAAAAGTTTTTTTAAATTGTTTCACATTCAAAATTGTTTTTTGATTAATTTGATCTAATATATTTCCAGTGCTTGTTAGGCAAGTCTTTTCTAACAAGGCAATTAAATTATTTGAAATATATATTGCTTGAATAATATATTTGTCTACAATATCGAGACTAGCAGCACTTGCAGCATCAAGCGGAAAAAGATTTTCACTGGCACACTTGTAAAAGATTTTCTTGAAATGTTCTTTGCGAAGACAAGAGGGCTGGGCCTTGTAGGAAACACTGTTTGAATACAATCCATCTTCTAATGTTAGTCGAAGTCAATTTTTTTAATATCTTGCCCAGTTATCATACTGCAACTCAGAAAGATCACCTCCAGAATGGAAACATAACTCGTACACCTAAAGCAGATAAAGATTATATCATTTTCATCAAGCAGCTCAATGAGAAGTGTACCTATTCTAGAAATGCAAAACAATAAATGAATTTATGTATTATTTATGAAAATGAGACATTGTTGAATACCAGGGTACTGCAATAAATGGATATACAAAGAATGGGACATATTACACAAACTTGTCCATACAATACGAACAAATAATATAATTACAATAATTTTAATCAAGAGAACAGAATAAATGATATGTACAGGTTTTTTAGGTCTTATACATAACATGATTTACGAGATTATTTAAGGACTATTTTGGCATGGTGTAATGTTCCACAAATGAAGTAATAATTACAATTATGCAACAAGATTCCAAAATGAATTATAAATACTCCACTGCTTGGTAGGGCGAAAATCCTAGGCAATGTAGCTTGTCTAGCACACAGTTTACTTAACATCATCTCTTCCAAAATACTGAAAACAAAGTTTTAGACATGAACTAAAATAAATAATCGCGACAACAATTAACTCTACTTACACATGCACGATTCTACATACTAACATAATGCTGAAAAAATTCGAATAAAAAAGAAGCACGCTTTACCTGCTTGCAAGCCTGCACGTACGAAAACAATCACCGCCTAGCATTGGCACCTTTTTTTAAATTGCCATGACGGCAGCAACGTTTAAGTTCGGATCACGTCGGACCCCCTGTTGTAGATGGCGCAAAATCATTAACGCTGCCGGTTTTGACCCGCCAAGGGTTTTCCCTACCCGCGTGAACTCTGAAGTGAACCTCTTGCCAGCCGGCAGACGGGACATTGTACGGGCGCTCGCTGCTGTGCGCGGCGGCATGTGCTGGCAACCCAAGGAGCTTCTCCCACGAAGCTCTTTGGGCAAGACGACATTCGAGAGGACGCTCGTATCCGCCGTGGGGATGCGACGTGAGGATCGGCCAAATCCCCGCTCCGCGCGGATCTCTTCGCGCAGAACGAACGACTTGTAGGGACGTTCGCCGTGGGTGGAAGCGGACGTGTTGGCAACTAAATCGTTTTTGCGGGCGAAGCTCATGTCCGCACAGTTTGGCATTGTGCGGGCGCTGGTGCTATGATCAGCCATTGTGCGTGAAACACGGCCCCTTTTGTCCGAGTGAAGCCCTTGTGGCACTCCGCGCCACCTCAAAGTACGGGAGATCTCCGCTGTGGCTTCGCTCGTGCGTCACAAACGCGTTTCTTCAGCGCAAGCGCTTTCCGCAGACGGAGCCACTCCTGTTTCGAGGCTGTGAATAATCTTCGCGTTGCATTACGAGATTTCTTCCTCCGCGCGAACACTGAGCATTTCAGACAGACGGAGCACTCCGAGTGTACGGTGTGGGTCCGCATGTGATACACAACGCCGTTCTCCTCTTGAAGCGTTTTTCTCTGATCACTGCGGGCATTCGTGACAACTTTTGCCTCCTGGGCAATCCCTTCTTACCGTTCATTTTCCGCAAGCTCTCCGCCGAAACGAGCTGTTTGTTCATCTTCATCCTCGTGCATATTTTGGTTAGGGGGATTGAGACGTATTCCTAGCTTGAGTCCTTTCTTCCCGCAGCACTCTCGTTTGGCTTCCACTCCGGCGCTCAACAAGCGTTAAGTCATTTCCATCCCTGCAGGCCGTCGCTCTTTTTGCTTCCATAGCTCTTCACCGAGCAGATGAATGTCTCTTCTGGGTGAAATTTCCCACTGCGGGCAGAAATACTATTTATTACAAAGAAACGAATTTAGTTTTTTGAAAAATAAGGAAGTGGAATCTGACAAAAAACTTTAAAAGAATGGTTACTGCAAAATGTGGTGTTGGCAGAGGCATTTTATTGATATTACAATTAAACTGGCAAATAAGGCAATACATTCTTCAGACTTCAATATTTGATCAAAATACCACATTTGTCCGGGAAAAGATATTTTAAATATAGCGTTGTAAGAAAGGTTCGGCTTCTAGAAACGTACATCAAAAACTTGATAAAACTTAATTTTTCATTAAATAACATCTTACTTACGAAAATGCAGAATATCAACAATTTCGTAGAATATAATTTAGTGCATGTAGAATTTAAAATATATTAGGTCGAGCTACTAGATACAAATTCAGAAAGATAACATACAATGAAAGTTGAAATAAAGTATTAATTAGATGAAGATTTATACGACAAGTCTACAATAAAGTGCCTTAATTTTAAACCAAACTCCGGCAACCTTTTCTTCAGTACCCTGCTTATCGCAGCAAGAAAAATAAAAGCCACGCTTGAATGCGCAGCTGTCGGACTTCCGGTCCCGGTGACAATTACCGGGTCACATGGCCTGGACGCCAAAATTTAAAACCGGTCGTGGGCGACGCGTGTGCCTAAGCAGCGCGATCGTCTGGCCTTACTCTCCCGGACATTCGCCCACACTCCTCACTCTTGTACTTACACGTACAACGTCTCCGAATTAACTGATGAGAAGGCGGGCGCAGATGGCGCCGCGTTAATAAGTTGAGGGCTTCACCCCACCACCAATGTTCCCTAGATAGGCTTCGCTTGCTGTGGCAAGGCGAGGGCTCGCTTGGCTAAGCATGCTTTGAGGGGGTTCGCTCCCAACGCAAGATTCCAAGGTTGGCTCGCCTGTGTCGGTAGCGAGGGCTCGCTGGTAGCATCCTAGGAGTTTTTTACAGCCTAAAGTTTTTTTTGGCTCTGCTACGGGCCTACCTGCCAATGCAACTGGCAGAAGGAAATCCGGCGCGAAAGTTTCAAGGTCTCAACCCTTCCTTCCTCCCCCGCAGCGCACTTTCACCGACATAACGGTTCTGGCCCTCGTGTTAACGACGCCACAATTGTACATCATGTCCATTTTTTTCTGAATGGCTGCACGAAAAACTGAGTCGATTCCAGAGAATGCGGCAAAATTATCAAATCCTCAGCGGCCTCAATGGTTACTGTCAAAGAATTGTCCATCTGTGGCCACCCGCTGTCCCGGAAATGTTACGATTATGAATACATTACTATTATCAGTAATCTGTGCGAGTCTAAAGGATTTGATTGAGTGATTCCGGACACGTCAACTGCTGAGGTCGTTAGTCCCGTAAGTTGGTGTAAGCTTTTATTGCAGGTGACGATCTTTTCCAGTTGAATAACGAGCTCCTGCGCCGACCTATACGTCAGCTCACGAGGTTTTTCTCAACCAGGCATCTCCCACCGACGCAACACCATCCCGTATGTCACAAGCTCTAAGCTCCCGACAGGTCTCTCGGCATGCGCGGTAGATTAGTGAATGTAAATGTGTGTAAGGGGGTGAGGATATGACAAGGAATGGAAATTCCGTTTCGTCCGTTAGGGTACTGCTCCACCATTCGCCTGGTATCGATCGAAAAAAGCCGTGAAAAATTGTCGATCAGAGCAACCGGCGGGGTTCTGACTACACCGTGGATTCTGACAACTTACCGTGTGAAGAGAAAGTTCATATAGGAACAAGATTTAACACTTTTTCGAAAACTGGGTTCCACAATAGGAATTTGTGTCAAAAAATCGTAGATATCTGCCGCAGTGATTCAATACTTTCTTTACAGCGTAAGTACGTAGAAAGTAAAAAAAGAGAAGAATGAAAAAACAAGAGACAATGGTAAGAGGAATGTTGTGAAACAGAATCTCAAGAATCTGCTGAATATTTTTTTTCGCACTATTACACAAAAGATTCACATTGCGTAATCTATTCTTCACAGTGAGATGACATCTAGTTAAACTAATACCTATTTAAAAATTAAATTTTTTAAGTTTCTCCCCACACGGTACAGTATTAAAATCGCATCAATAATACGTTATTGTCATAACATTCGTGTGTACGGCTCTTTTGAGCTCTTACTATGCACATGTCAGGATTAAGATCAATTCCAAAAAATGGTTAAAATTGGTGCAAGTGACAAGGAGATATAAGCGCAGTTGTTCCACAAAATCGAGATGTCTATGGATGGAAGAGCACGTTACGCATAACTCTCTCAGATTGGAAACTTATGATCACAAACTCAGTAGCCACGTCGGAAGAACTCATTGGGTCATTCCGGGGAACATACGTTTTCATTTTTTTACCATTTTGCATGAGGAAGTAGATTCGAACTGGCGCAAGTCATGAATACACCCTGACCGGAAGCGTACAATGCTTCAGTGATCTGACTAAACCGATAGAGCTTCGTGTAAAGTAACCCCCGCCCCATAAAAAAGTCTTCAGCATCTTTGGAATGGCACATCCCGATCTTGATCCTGACATATTTACCAATATTCAGCTCAAACTCTACTAGCGCAACAGTTATGCGTGATCCATCCATCCATGCAAACCGATTTTTGTAAAATTTGTTGCGTCTGAATTGACTCTACGCGTCTATAAGCCTCAGGAGACGTCGAGTGCTTCCCGCTTGGGAGTAATCCTCTATTAAGATTATCTGTTATTTCATGTTACGTCTCGTCGCAGTCAGTTGTCGAGAGGACCGCCAGGTAGCATCTTCGCGTACGCGCCTACTACTACTACTACGCGCCCCTGCGTCATTTAGGACACACCTGTGAAACATGCAAACTCGTTTTGTCGTAACAAATTTCACATGAGGTTCTACGGGAATCGAACCGTCAGTGGTGAAAGACAAGCGACTTCGCCACTGAGCCGTCTCGGAACGTCAGTGGTGAAAGGCAAGCGACTTCGCCACTGAGCCACGAGAGCACCTTTCAAGTACGAAATTGCATGCACTTTTATTACTATATATGCACTATTAATCCTGACGTGTGAGCTAAGTTAGAACTGAAAGTAACCTTAAACTCGGATTTTACGAGCGATATTTGAGATCATATTGAGGCGATTCCCACATAAAAAGGATAGTGTTTAAGAGCACTGGCTTCTTTACACTCACCAACAGACAGTGCGCCTTTCCCAATAAAATGTTCGTTGCTCATCGCCAAAGGGTCCTGCAGCACAAAACAATTAGTCAATCCCGAGCGAACATTCCGCATTTTGTATATTGTTTTGGGGGTGAATTTTTTTTTTCCTTCTCTTTTTTTTCTTTTCTCTCCCTCTCCCTCCTCCTGCTTAGGCTCGCCAACTTTTCCAAATAAAATTGGCTAATTTGTGAGAAATACGAAAAGTATCTTCTAAATGTTCAGTTATTCATAATATATGCATACAAGAGACCTCTGGAGAAAGTGCAAACATCAAAGCTATCTTTTGTAACATTATGGGCCTGCTTGCGTCCCGGAAACCCACGCAGCTGTCACGCACGTTTTAAGTATCGTAGGCAGCAGATCGTGTTTTAGTTCCTGTAAGAAGCTGCTGCAGCAGAGCGCGTCAGGTTATATAGGAGTTATACAGCCCCGGTTTCCACTACATTATATGGGAGTTGAAAGGCTCTGAGCTGTGCCTTTAAGTGTGCAAAGTAATAAAATTTTCTAGTTAACGATTTTCTTGAAAAGTTTCAGCAATGGTAGCAAATTTAACTTGGGCGGCACACATGGTACAGTCTCCCCTAATAAAACAACAAACATAGAACTGTTTGAATTTAAACAATGTTTGGAATCTGTTATCCTTACCATATCTTCCTGCTTAACCTCTTCGTCTGTCATATCCTCAGGATTCACAAACACACTGATTGGTGGTTTTAGCTCCTCCTGCAATTGGATAAAAATTCTCTATAATCAAATATTGCCTTTATTTGAATGGATTGCAAAGCAGAATACGAACCAATGACAAACAATTTAAAAAATCATGACCAGCAGAAAGCAAAAAGAACTCAATTCTTATAAACTCCACACACATCTGTGCTGCTTTGTACTGCCAACTGATCATCAGGCAAAAAATGAAAGTCGTAGCAAAGCATTTGGTGACGTTTCACAGGTCTAATATTTCAACTATTTATTTACACAATTTTGGGGCAAAATAAAAGGTGCGCCCAAATAAAAAACGCATGAGCTTAGATTCAATTAGTCTCATGGAGGGTTTACAATCTGTGCACCAAAGTTTGGCATTCAATTTAAAAAATGCAAATTGCATATATGTGCTGT